TGGTCCCTGGACACACCGTTCGTGTACTTCTACAAAATCCGAGCGTTTAATACATGTTTCTGGTCCTGCAATCAGCAAAATGCGGCTCTCCAAGGCTACACACATGGTGCGTCGCACAAACCAACGCACGGAGAACCATCGATATTCCCCTCTTCTCTAATGTGTTGGTGTGCGACGTGGAGGAACTCCGTGTTCTCTTCACTCTGTTCAATGGAGCCAGGCGGTGCAGAATGCACTGCATATTGGATGTGACACAGAGGGACAACCTGAGATGCGTCAAGCTGTATAGTGACCCCGCAACATGTGCGGACAGGTGAGACCAGTCCTAGCTCGCCAACCAAACGACTTATAGATCTTGGTGGGCTGGATATTCAGCCAGGATACGATGGCGACCAGCTGCTGTTTCCACTGCTTTGTAATGAGGGGAACTATTAGTGTACTGTTGATGATGGTCAGAAGGTATATGCACTAATAAAGTTTTTTAGTATGGTTGACAATGGTGAGATGCCACACGTATAAAAATAAATACAATGCAAAATGGGAGCAATTCAAAAGAGGAACTTATCATCTGTGAGAGTTGCTTGGTGGAGTTCCGGACGGCGGGAACGTGTTTTCTCCGCAGTATGGCTGCTACACGTGTTCCATAGTTGTCCGTGGACTTGTGGAGAGTGGTTGACTTCCTGATCCCTGCGTGCGCGCGAGTCTGTGTGTGCTGACTGTGTTCGGTTTCCTTATATGTAGGTCCGTTTGCGTGTACGTGGGCGCGTCAGCACATGAGTAGTTGCTANATGCAGACAATCGGTGTCCGATGCGTCAGCTTGATGTGACGTGGTTTGTGAGTATGAAAAAAGACAAGTCTGGTGATCGAGTGAGCGACTGTGAGCTGAACCGTCAAGTATGTGGGTGACTGGGTAGCTACAGGACCATCCATTCAAACAGCACGCATCCCGCGGCAGTATGAATCAAACAGTCCTATCGATTTCAGTCTCAATTTTGGACGTCATCTAGACTGCAGTATAACTTAGCGACAAACCCAGCGTTTTCGTTAAAAGCATTACAAATATTATGCATTTTTCTACAGAAAATCCCAAGCTATGTCAGAATAACTCATAAATAGCATGCCAGCTTCAGTGACTAAATTGCAGTCCTCTTTGAAACTAGTCGGAACGCAAGTATGTGACCGAAATTTGTCAAATTGTTGGTTTACTTCTGTGAGAATTGGGGAACATTTGTAAACAAATTTAGATAACGCAAAATGGGAGGAATTTAGTGACAGTAAGGGTTTTATCATAATCGCTTTACATCTTCAGCCTACGCGTAAGATATGGCAGAAAAATCAAACCAGACTATAGTCAAAAACAAGAGGTGGAGTTCCGATCGATTGACCACAGTCATTCCCGTCCAATCCAGTGGGACAAGTGACGGACCAAGTAGGACTCCAAAGAATCTTCCAAGTGTTCCGTTATGCAACATTAATGACGCGAAACTGATATTTCTTCGCTCTACTCAGACCAGAACTCAAATTCCAACTGCGGAAATAGACTGCCCCCTCAAAGCGTGGCATTTTGTGAGCCTAATTCAACAAAAACAGCTCTTTCGGAAGAATACTGAAGTTTTCGTCTTTCCAGTCATGGATACATGAGCATGGGAAAGATAAAATCCGAGTGCACACGTACTTGATGCGATCACGTGACCAAGGTTTCTTCAACAATGACGCGTGCATTTGAGAAGCTGTTGCTTCCTTTCATAGACAGTGGAGAGTGCTGCTTCGCTACCTGTTGTATCGTGGGTGGCCGTCTATTAGTTACGCTTGAAATGAGCCCGTCATACGGAGGTGGCAGAGAATCCGAGACACGGCTGTATTGTCAGGACAAACACAAAGATTCCGACTAAATGGCCAAACTTGGTCGTCCGCTTGTTCTTTCTGCTCAACCAATGGGGGCGTTCCTGTCGTGAACAACTTCACACCCGCTCAGCTGGTCGCATGATGCTAAGGCTTGGCAATAAGCTCCGCCAACGCACTCGCTATCCGGTACCGATGGTGACCTCGAAGATGCGTCGTTCATTTCTGGAGGCGTCCCCTGGGTCCTGAGCGTTCGAAACAGTGTCACTGATAGTACGTCTATGCAGTACAGGTCGGCTGTATTCATCCATAGAAAGAACTCAAGGCTATCCGTGAACAGTTGCAGCGGTGTTGTAACCCTCTTCTCGTTCATAATATGGCATGGTTCGAGAGCCAAGTAAAACCAACTAGGCCACATGTTTAAGCTGTTGAAAGAGGCCTTGAACAGGCTAGGTGGCGGATTAACACTCTTGTTTCAGTTAGTGCAACGGGGTTCTGTATCACTCACTTTGCCGAGGCATTACTCGGATGAATGGCATATCCACTATGTACTGGATATGAATTTGCCACCAGTAGACCAAAATATAAAACCTGAATCCCACAGAATGTTGGATTACCAGGGTGATGAGACATGCAGCACGGTGGACGATCGTCACCTACTTGGTTCGTACACAAGGAATTCAAAGACATGCTGATCTAGTAGCTGTAAATGGAGTGTATTTTTCAACTCGCCGTCCTTGATCGAGTTTTAAGCTTGCCCAATCAATACGGGTAGGTCACTGGCCGCAACGGTTAGTCACCAGGGAGTGAAAGAATGCATATGTTCTTTCTGTTGCGCACTTAATTTGTGTGTCTCCGGGGTCACGTGTGCACGATGTATTGCGCAATCTATCGAGCAAATTGGATGTAATCATGTAAGCAAGTAAAAGGATGTTGAGAACAACCAACAGGTGACCGTTTTTAACTGGAAACGCTCCCTAGAAGTGGCTGAATGAATGCGCTTACTCAAAACAATAGCGTGGATTTGTTACGTCACCGTTTGTTGGGATAGATCGATAAAGCACAGTTCGTTTCCTTCATAGAGGTTCTGTCAGCAACTGATAAAACAATCATTTGATCTTGAGTGCTCCATCGCTGGTGAAATTCAAGTTATTTAGGCGATAAAATCCTTTGATGATGTAGATATGTTTGACCAAGCTGAATCATGTCATTGACCAGAAGAGTATTGCTTTTCGGCGACCCTGAGGTTCGTTTCCTTTGCAGACGGTCGACCAACCAGACGCGACAGCCCGCAGTGGGTGGTTGGCGGCGACGATCGAGCTTTGAAGGATACGTGATGTACCAAGCTTATCGTCATGCGTTTCAAACCATACCGGCGCCTCTGGACCACAATTACAATGTACCCGTGGGGAAAACTCTGCATATTCATTATGTATACTGTGAAACAGCTTCGCGGATAGTGTGTTCCACTCCATATTCATTTTTTGAAGCCACACAGCTATTCATAACAGCGTGTTTAATGTTTCATTGATTACAACGTAACCGCGTAGAAGAAATTGCGTTCCTGTTGTCAGAACCTGCAAAAAGTAATTTCAGTTGAAGTCTACATGGATCTACGTTATGAAGAGTTTGTCGAGCCTGGCGGAAACTTCCGACCAGTGTGTTTGTTGTTCGCTAGTTCTCATTGATCTGAACAATCTCGTCCAATGTTAGATCACGTGGTCACCCACTTACTGGATTCTTGAGTCGATTCTCGATGAATAGTGTGCGGTTTTCTTGTTACTCCACCTTGATCTAATGGGAGGTGAGATTTATTACGGAAATATGTGGAACTGCTCTGCAGCATTCGTTTACACTTCCAGGAAAGTTCCAGAAGACGCATACAAGAGAAAGACGGATACACAGGTTTTTTAAACAAGATGCATATGGGAGTTTTACTTCCCTCTAAAATAGTCTGCAGCTGTTTAGTTGGTATTTTCTAATAAACAACCTCGGGGCAAAGGGATTTCCTCGTTTCATTTGAAGCAGGAGGTTTCACTCACCATGTTGTTTCTGTGATTGAAGAGTGAGCACCCCTATATCCTGTTCAAGTGCACATCAGTCACACCGCTGCTCAGCTGCTCATGGCCAAACTGGTGTGTTCAAACACTGGCCCGAACGTTGAGGCTCAAAACTCGCTGGAGTTTCGTAAGACGTGCACTCGTGATGATTCCCAGTAATGATGAAGCAATAATGTACTGATCCTTGGCTTTCAACTTGGATTAGTTTTGCTGACAGGATGAATTCTAAACTGGAAAGTATCATATCTTCCCTCACTACCATCGTTCTGAAATGGCTTTTTTCTAAAGGTGTGGTTGAAATTGCCGTGAAGCTATACGGGAATTCTCCACCGACAACACGCTACTGACAACGTTTCACAAGGTCTAGTTCAGCATCCCACCTCAAATATCCATAAATTCAGTGGTTTTACTGTATAGCTTACGACTAATGTTAGGAGCGTTCATCCATTGGTTGAAGCGCCAAGTGGCCTTGAACGTCCTTGATATAGTGTTTTGCCCATAGAGTGAATATTCACTGTGTTCTACAGGATATATCCCAAAACCTAGGTTCACTATTCGTGTACACTGGCGACTAGGTTCCCCTGTGTGGCTGAATCTGAGGCACTATTTGACCTTCACTATCAAAACCTACTTCAACATAGTTTAGCTGAGCTGTAACAAAAGTTGAGTCAACATCAAAGTACGCATTGATTTTTTGCTCTAAAGTAGCCGACGGTAAGCATTTCCTTCTAATCTGTCTCTTCTTGCAAGCCCCTCTGACCTAGTTTGGTGTTTTTGCTTGCTTGCAGTCCAAACACACATTGCTTTCCGTAACTGTCACCATAGCACTGGGTGACGCCCTATTCCACATAGTTCACGTCGTACTCTATGGGAGGGGAATGTTGGTGTTTCCAAAATTTAGGGACGTAACTCCTGCTCGACCTTATTTTGTGTGTTTTGGCTGTGCAGTGGTCTGGAATTACACCATCTGACCAATCAGATCGCGTTGGGAGTTTTGCGTAGGTGGTTGCCCTGGTAGTTGTGTGTGTGTGGATGGCTAGCTCTTCATCTTGCTTTTATCTGGCCACCACTCGCTGAAAATACTATTGGAGATAGTTTTTTCCCCTTCATTTTGATGTGCAAAGTTTATTCCCTGATGGAAACGGGTAGTACTCTGCTGAGTGAGAGGAAACTGCCTCGCTTTAGTGTTTCGGCAAAGTAAGTAGAAATTCTTGTGATGTATTTTTGGTGCTATTGTGCGAAAGCTCGCAGACAGGTTGGCACGTTATTTTATCGATTTGCGGATAACAGCAGGACACACAGTCGAATAAAACTGAGTTTATTCTCTACATTTTTACCTGTAGTTTATTTATGGCGCAGTGTTTCTTTCAACTACACGTACCAGTTGACTTGGCACTGTACTAGACAACAGGTCCTCGACGAGGTTAGCAAAACAGTCATCAATTTCGAACACTATGAAGCTTTGCCAAGTCAATCCAGAATTACTCTTGGTGGTTATCTTGAAGTATGCCCTGTCAGCCTGAGGAAATCATCATTGGTGGGGATAGCGGGATGAATACAAGCCTGAAAAATTCCAGATCCCAAGCCAAATAAAAAAACTTCAGCATGCACAAAACTTTGTAGATGAGAGTTAGCCTAAGAGTGGTGCATAACTTTACCCCTGCAAAAAACTGCCCATTGGACGAGAAGGACTGTGGAAGTCAAATCGGTGTCGCCTTTAGCGTAACCAGCGGTCCCCATCAACTTTCATTAGCCGAATTTCGGACACTGATAGGACAACCATCACTCACGTGACCCTTGCAACCCAGCTACAGACCTGCTAAATTCCAAGGCTCGCTCGCTCCTGTGGGGCGCTCAGTATTCGCACAATAAAATTGAATTTTCGAAAGTTATGACGTGTCCAATTTCGGACACTGATAGGACCAACCATCACCACGTGACCCTTGCAGCCCAGCTACCAGACCTGCTAAATTCCAAGGCTCGTTGGCTCCTGTTGGGCGCTCAGTATTCCCACAGTGGAATTGAATTTTCGAAAGTTATGACGTGTCCTTGATGGACTATTGCAATCGGGCAATTGAGCCCAAACTTTTAAGCCCCATTTAAGAATCTCGGGGTCTTAATGATGCCACGAGGCATGGTTGCTTCAGTGAACAATGGCGTTTGGTGAGCTGCAAAGGTATGAACGCAGATTAGGACTGTTTCTGGTTTGAGCAACAAAATGCAACATTTTGGTGTAAAAAGTTTCACTCCACTTGTAAAGGTTTTGCAGCTGAGGGCATTGTGCGGATACTGGGTACCCTCGCGTGGTGATAGTGCGGAACGAGCTTTGGATTCCCCAAAAACGAGGATACGGGTAGAAATAAGTCCCGAGGCTAACATCAGAAATAATTTACGCGCTTTCGAGTGAAAGTTAGGAAACAGTTGCTATTACAGTCACTAGAATTCGATGGGGTGATATTTATGAACACATTGGCCAAGCCTCTGAAAAAACCCATTTTGACCATAACTCGGCATTAGTTATTCGGTCATGGATTTGCCTAGATGCTTCTTTCATTACCTGCCATCCTTTCAAGGAGTGATATTTGCCAACAGTTGCTCATCATCGACACACGAAACATTAAAATTACTACGGTCATTTTGCATTGTTGGGGACGAGTTACGCTCACCTGGTTGAGATAATCGGTCGATGAATTTGCTCTTGTCTGCTGCTCCATGAAAACAGCTCTTATCGTAATTTTGTAATATTTTTATATGACGACAGGGTGTTATCGAGAAATCGACTCACTTGCCAGTGAAACGCACTATCGCCACTCGTCATGACGAGGAAAACTGAGATCGGATGGCGTGACTCCCTTAACATACTACTCTTCGCCAGATGGAACTCATCTCTAGCCCCGCCTGTTCACTTGAACAAAAATTTTGCTTTGGTCTACTCAGATAGTATTGGACGTGTCTAGACAGTCGGGGTGACTGTGTCATCTGATTATACGGTTTTACTCTCGTCTGTTTGTTCCTCCAAATGGGCTATTTTCTGGGACGAATTTTCTTCTGTCACCCATTTGAAACGTTATTTTTTGGCAACACTAAGACGACCAAAACAGCTTACCCATTGATCCATTGTAAATAATAGGTCTCGGGTAGAAACATCTAACTTTTGAAGATGGCCACCCGGGCATTCAAATTCTGTGATCAAAATCTTACTAAAGTGCCAAATTCTCGAAAGACAAGACGTCACTTCTGCGTCTGTCAAACTCTTTTCTTAAAAAAAACTATCGAGCTTTCCATTTCATTTCAGCCTGGTACAATACAAGTTCCGTACCCAAACACAAAAAACTAAATCTTTCATTTGTAGCACCCTTTCGATGCCTAAGTGCGTTGCCACCCGAAGGAAGCACGAGGGCTGGAATAGTGCTAGTTTGTCCAAGCCTAGACAGGGATGGTCCAGAGACGCAGGACGGGTTCGAACCACGGACCTTCCGGTTGGTAAATTCGCTCTCTAATCACTAAACCAGCTCGCCCCCCCCCACACAGCCTGATCTGGATCATATTATCCAACTGTACAAAATCAGAAAGCCCTTGGAAAAGCGTAACACCTCATCTGACTATTCATCATATCTATGCTACCTGTCTCGCCAGCATACCCCATCATGTTCGATCTGAACTACTAGGATTTTCCCATCAGTGTAATACTTAGTACGGAAGAAGACGAGTCGTTTTGTAGGCAACACCATGAAATCCATTCCAGTGACATCCCAGAAAAGACATCCGACACCTCAAACACCTCGAGAAACTAGGCTAAACCACATGAGGACGATCCAAATGGTATATTACACAACATGTCACTGTTGCATAACTCATCTTAGCGTATTTTGTCAGCGCAGGTCAACTCGGTTTTTTGTCCAGCATCTGAGTTAAAAGCTTACTTGAAAAGTACTATACTATTGGAATAACGGGGATGAAATCTGAGTGTATGTTGATGGAATGGGTGTTCTCGGGTTGCTCTCACCCGGATTCAAGAGCTTGGCAACCCCGAAGATCTAATTCTTTCCTTCTCAGTAACAAATCTGAGCTGTAGCTTACATTTGGTTACATCATCCGGTGAGTTTTAGTCGTCCTCTTGTGAACACATGCCTGTAGGATTCGTTCTTTCCAACGAAACAATCCAAGAATAGCTAAGATACCGCATATTCTGGTTCACTTAAATACCGGGAACAAGCCATTCTACTGGAAATTCAAGCGATTAACATCCCCAGAAAAAGAACAGGTTAGAAAAGATTTCATAATGTTAACGAAGGCTTTTATGGGGTCAACAGGAATATGCCCTGACAAAATGCACCCCGTATATCACACTCTTATTCGAACTGTGTCAGCGTAGTAGTGCGAGGACTGAACCGCAAAATGCATTAGTCTCTGCAGATTCGAAGTGCTAAGCCGTTGGTATCCACTGCTTACGCTGAAATTAGGGTGAACCAAATGAGTGACGTATCCAAGCCTTTGGGAGATCGCCTAGCGGTGGCGTTTTCATGATCCCGTCACTAAACCAGCTCGCCCCCCCCCCACACAGCCTGATCTGGATCATATTATCCAACTGTACAAAATCAGAAAGCCCTTGGAAAAGCGTAACACCTCATCTGACTATTCATCATATCTATGCTACCTGTCTCGCCAGCATACCCCATCATGTTCGATCTGAACTACTAGGATTTTCCCATCAGTGTAATACTTAGTACGGAAGAAGACGAGTCGTTTTGTAGGCAACACCATGAAATCCATTCCAGTGACATCCCAGAAAAGACATCCGACACCTCAAACACCTCGAGAAACTAGGCTAAACCACATGAGGACGATCCAAATGGTATATTACACAACATGTCACTGTTGCATAACTCATCTTAGCGTATTTTGTCAGCGCAGGTCAACTCGGTTTTTTGTCCAGCATCTGAGTTAAAAGCTTACTTGAAAAGTACTATACTATTGGAATAACGGGGATGAAATCTGAGTGTATGTTGATGGAATGGGTGTTCTCGGGTTGCTCTCACCCGGATTCAAGAGCTTGGCAACCCCGAAGATCTAATTCTTTCCTTCTCAGTAACAAATCTGAGCTGTAGCTTACATTTGGTTACATCATCCGGTGAGTTTTAGTCGTCCTCTTGTGAACACATGCCTGTAGGATTCGTTCTTTCCAACGAAACAATCCAAGAATAGCTAAGATACCGCATATTCTGGTTCACTTAAATACCGGGAACAAGCCATTCTACTGGAAATTCAAGCGATTAACATCCCCAGAAAAAGAACAGGTTAGAAAAGATTTCATAATGTTAACGAAGGCTTTTATGGGGTCAACAGGAATATGCCCTGACAAAATGCACCCCGTATATCACACTCTTATTCGAACTGTGTCAGCGTAGTAGTGCGAGGACTGAACCGCAAAATGCATTAGTCTCTGCAGATTCGAAGTGCTAAGCCGTTGGTATCCACTGCTTACGCTGAAATTAGGGTGAACCAAATGAGTGACGTATCCAAGCCTTTGGGAGATCGCCTAGCGGTGGCGTTTTCATGATCCCGGATAGGTCGTATATAAGCTCAACCCTGCACTAGCCCAATTTTCAGTATCACCACCACCACGCACATGATAGCACTGCCTTTCATGAATCTAGCTGAAAGCCCAGGTATCTGCTGACACGGGAACAAGTCGACAGCGTATCGGTTCACTTAGTAGATGCCATTTGTGGATAGCAACCACCCCAAACACCGTCAGAACCAATATGTTCCCTGGTATGGGGCAGACATAGTAAAACCAAGTATCTCCGCTACACTTCACCCTGCTGACTGGAAAGAAACCGCTGAGATGGTTGGAGCGCAAAGGGTACCTAATGATAAGGTGGAAATTTTCAGATCTAGCTTGTAGGTCCAATAGGTAATGGTACTGATTTAGGGAATGCCGGTATAAGGGAAGGTTACAGTATTCACACGTTTGTTCGCGTAGTGATGTCGACTGAATTTCACGTGATTTTTCGAGACACCATCACTGCCACTAAAACTTACTGTCTGCTTGAAGCAGCGGCAAGAGGAAACAATTCAACGGCCACAGTTCCGGATTCAAGCAGAGCAAATCTAGGGGATATTGGTGAAATACACTCATTTGCAAAAAATTTTTGTTTTGCGGGAGACACACCTCGAACCCAGCCGAACCTCTTGTTTACGGTGTTTTCAAGCAGCTGAATGTGCTGCACCAGGTCGCTCCATGTTTAATTTGATACGACAATCAAGATATGTGGATGTATATATAGACGTAATACACTACTCATTAGGTTGCTGAAAACTTTTCTACAGCCCACGACCGGTTTCGCTGGGTTCCAGGTGAGTCCCCGCAAAACCAGATTTGTTTAAAAATGAGTGTATTTCGCTAATTTTGTACAATTTGTTTCAAGTAGAACATGAGGTTGACGGAAACTCGGGGACTGCGCCTACCACATGAGCCCCAAGAAGGGCGAAACCGGTCGTGGGCTGTAGTGTATTAAAACTAGGAAACATCTCTCTGACTGGTCATCACACCCAAACAGCCTTTTAAAACAATACTTTTAAAGAAGACTGAGACCCTTTTGATTAGCTACACCGGAAATTTCGAAGAGCACCATCCCAACATTTTTTCTACAGCGATGCTAATAACCGTATGGGGACAGGAAACGGTAAGAAAAGACTTGTGAATAGCCAGACTTCGAATTAGCCTTATGCTATCGTTTCGAATATCCGAGTAGGGATTTATGATGCATCAAGGCCTGTGTCCATAGTTGACGAGAATACCAGTATATGGTATAGATATAACACGCTACTTATGAGGTCGCTGAAAAGTCGCCAATAGCCCACGACCTGTTTTGCCATTCTCGGAGCTAATCGGGTGGATGTAGTCTTCTAGTTTCCATCAACCTTGTGTTCTATATGAGCCCAAATTTTACGAAATTCAACTAATTCACTCATTTGCCCACCAGTTCAATTTTTGATAAGATACGGAACCGAATCCCAGCTGAATCGATACATTTGGTAGGACTGAGTGGACTTTCAAAGAAAGATATCAGAACATATCCTCTTACATGTTTATGAACGAAAATGGATTTTCAGATGCCACCAGTGACCTCAACAACTCGGGCCTATGCTCTCCAAAGAATTCCGTGCAATCTTTCAAGTTCGTCTAATCATTACTCGCATCCATTTGTAACTACATTATGCACTCGCCCACCAAACTGGTTTAGATGCCTAACACCTGACTAACTGGTGTGACGGAATCTGACTAGAGTACACAACTGTGATATTCTGATTAACCAATGGGATTCAATTTACCTATATTATCGTTTTATACGTGTTCGGGTGTCCACATGGAGTTTGTTCGCCAACTGATCACCTAGCCTCAAGTGGGTTAAAACGAGTTTCACTCAACTTAGTTTTCTGAAGACAAAAGTCACTGTGACCTTCATTTTGCTCATTTTTTGGTGAACAGGATGGGGCAACTCTGAAGGCTACTCATCCAGCGATCATGATGGTAAAATCACTTAGGGCAACCTGACAGTTGTTAACCACAATGTGTGCAAAAGTTCATCTGGTGGATGACTCACACGACGTATTGTGCGAACCTACCTACGGTTGGGAGGTCTGGAAAAATTACACGTACCAAGAATTTGTGCTTTGGAAAGTGCAAGACGCTAGGGAGGGTTTTATGAAAAACACAACTAAGGAGAGCCTAAAAGTTGAACACATTGTCGTACGTTTGGAGCATACGGGGGACTTGTACTATCAATAAGTTCAAACTAGATTATAGCCTCATGACATTCTGTAGCTAGCGTCCGTTGAGCCTGACGCGGTGACAGAAAGTTTCTTCTAGGGCTGTCCCAGGTTTAGACCTATGATAGCCTCGGAAAGTTTAGACAGTTGTCCCAAACTCACCTTATTGGCCTACGGTGGGTCACCGTATTTGCTTTGAGAAATATTCGATTCAAGGTGACCTGCACAAAACATGACCGCATATAGTACAAACCTGTTTCCAGGGGCAACAACTTGTGGGATTTTGTCTCAGTCCTTGGGCATGAAGACGTCGATCACTGAACCCGCGACATCCAGTCTCTCACTGCCGTCCCGTTTTGTGCTTCCGATTCACACTTCACGGAATTCATGTTTTGTGGCTTACAAGTTGTGCCCACCGTGGTTCTCACTCTTCCCACTCGGCTAAACATGCAGAAGAAATCAGAGATTCCCAATTTGTCACAGCCATCGTAGCCTATTGAATGAAACCACAAGATTCATCCTGTCCTAAGGCGTCTGTCGAAGAGCCTTCATGATTCTCAACCATTTTCTTCAGCTAGGGTTAACTGAAGCACTTTATTGAAAGCTTCTTTGGTTTCTCTTCAGTTTTTCAATACCGTACGAGGGCAGATTAGCCCATGGACACGAACTTGGTTTCTCGATTTTACCAGCAGTAACATGGTCCATACGGAATTTCAGCTTACTGGTAGAATTCAAGTCAACCGGCAGCGTGATACCCTGGTTGCAGAACTATGCACAGTGGTCCACAAATTCTGTTTTAGTCTTGCTGCACAGAGAAGCACTGGAGGTTAGCTCGGCGCACAACGAAATTCTTCTTCAAGGTTAAACTGCGGAACTATTGTTTCAACTTAAACGATACTGTGAACCAGGATCCTCGCACCGAGACGTTCATCAGTAAAACGAAGTCCGGTAATCAGGATTTTGGGTCGATAGTGATTCGTCCAAGATATCGACTGAAGAGGACAAGGATAGGTGACCACTCGCTACTACAAGCAGGTGAGAATTTCGCAACCGCTAGTTTATCTACATTCCTCGTTTTTCAAGCGATTGATGATCGTGGCTGGCACCATTTCTCGAACGCTAGCGAAAACCTAATCGCAGAGCTGAGGGGTCGCTGCGCCGCTCTGGGGCCCGTGATGTTCGATGAGGCCAAATTGGATCTTAGTCGTGGCAAACACGTGAACAGTGCACGGTTCGAGAGGTCTGTTAATGCAGCTTCCCACAATATGGCGTCCGGAGACACGTGATCACAGGGCATGATATCGATTGGCACGGGAATTGAAGTCCATAGTCAGTGGGATTTCGTCATACTTCGGAACTGACCGAAAGGTAGTACCAACTTCGGCGTAGACTTCGTCACTACCAACTTTTACTAAGCTAGCTTTGTCAAAATCACGCGGATGTAACTCCATCACAATAAAGTGAAACAAGGATTGGTTCCGCAGAGTTCGGAATAGAGCATTTTCTTGATGAGACAGGAAAGGGCAAAACCAGCACTGTGTTTTCCATTTTCTTCTCTGTAGGTAGCTTATTCATTAGAAAATGTACCTACGTCAGCTTCCTGCGTTTCGCCCGAAGCCACGACGTCGATTTCGTCAACAGCTAACTGCGCATTTAAAGACGATTGATATGGTTATCTGTGTGTCTGGTTGCTAGTTTCATCCATCACCGTTTGAATTCCACCATCAACGACTCCGTGGTTATGCTCACCTGGTGAATGCGATCGTCGCTGATTCACCTGTGGTTGAATTACCTCATTTCCGTCAAGGTCATCCAGGCAACGATCAAGCTCTCCAAACCATATAATTGCCAGACACTAGTACCTCTCTTCTTGCGTGAAACGACAGTGGAGTATAACTGAGAGAGGGAGAGAGAGCTAAACCTTAATTGCTTTTCTTTCCTTCGAGTCGATAGAAAGACCGTTGCCTCAGCATTTCACAGAAGAACTATGTGTGCATCAAACCCATCCAGTGCACCAACACCTACTGGCGGTCAGAGTGGGAAGATAGCCGAAGGCCGTCTACCACGGATCCAGTAAAACAAAGTAAACTGTCACCAACATTTCTGATGGGAAAACAAATGTACAATATGAACGAAAAACCCCTAGCAAGACTCATTCCGTTCCCTTGAACGTCGTGGCAGGCCATATCGGCTGAAATAGAGGTGAGGGTAAGCGGCTAAATTTCAGGGTAGCGGCAGTGCAGCCATCGAAGATGGGGTCGCTGCAGAATCCTCTGTGCTCTCTATATTTTTGGGAAACACATCTTCGCACATCTCAGGTGCTTCATTTCTGGTCTGTGAACTTGTTCACTCGAACGGTAAGTCGGTATTTCTGACAACAATTCCAACTGCGTCAAAACATGTTTGGTATTTTGAATCATCAAACGAGTTCCTTTGCAGTATGTGTTCACACGATTTTGGAAATTGCTAACTCACGGCTTAGTACGCCACTGTGTACACAACGATGAAAACTGCTCAGCAGCCATGTGATCTAATCTCATATGAAATCTTAACTTGGGTTGACGGAGTTTATGCTGTTTCACTTTTCGCCCGTTGCTGGGGTCCAGACGCAAATGTATCAAAACCGGACACAAGAGGACTAGTTAAGCTACAATAAAGAGTGAGGACTGATAAGAGGTGCGTGTTATGTAGATGTAAGCAGTTCCAATTATGTCCGAAAATATATAACGTTAATTTTTATGTAACAAATAGAAACAAGCTTTGACTTGGACAGATTTGGCATTCAGTAAATTCGATCGACCAGGATGGTTGCTCCTAAAAATGTCGGAATCGTTGTCATCTACCAATCAGCGTCATAGTTCCGGTGATGAGATTGTCCCAGCCTTTTAACATTTGGAACTTGTTCATCCAAGCACTATCTGACAGCACTACTCATAAGGTTGCTGAAAAAACTTCGGCAAACCGCGACCGATTTCCTCATCTTTGGGACTCGTTCCTCGAGTTTCCATCAACCTGCTGTTCCAGCTGAACACGAAATAATACACAAATGACAAAATACTGTCAATTTTGAGCCAAGTTAACGCGTGACCTGACCGCTGGATGTAATACGCGAAACCTGCTATCTACTAATTAAAGCCATGTTCCTATCAAACCTAGTCATTAGTGTACATGGGATTACCTGCTGAGCAAGAACATGCAGGCTGATGGTACCTAGGTTAATGAAGTCGCCGAGCAAACAATTAGCAGACAACATGTATTAGATATAATTAACTTTTCAACTGAGGATTCGTCCTATAACTGGGGCCAATCTATTCTTAAAAGCAGAGAAGCTGTTTCATCCTTATTTGGAATTATCAACTTGGCAAAACTCCACCTCTCGGCTTCGGGGAAGAATAAATTCAAACGGTGATTGAAAAACGCATCGGAGACGTCATCACTCAGGCATCCAGTTAACACGTGACCACATGATATGATTTCATTGATTAATCGATGAGTGGCTATTTCCTTTCTAAGTGCAAGTTAACCACACCCCTGATGATTGACTCGTGCTGAAATGGTTTGTTGTTCAACCTATTAGCCAGGAGGTCGTCACTTTGAAACTCCCTGGAGTTTCGTGAGGTGGGTACTCTGATTATTCGCAATGAGGACAAAATGTTGTACAGTACTTCTCGACTTTTCGGCACACACTGGCTCCACTGGCAGGACGAAATCTCCCACATAAGTTACTTGTTTGTAAACGCCCAAAATTAAAAATATCCCTGGACGACGTACGATTCTCTCATACGCACACACTTCTACAAGCTGATGAAAACAAACACAAAAAGTGTGCTCACCACGTTAGTTTGAACTTTGTCAAACGTTTGTTTTTGCTTCTCCGGGTGGTGTGCCATACCGTTGGAATAAAATTGACCATCTGTCACCCTGACTCCCGAACTTTTTCAGAAACACGCGTCCCACTGTGTTCATACTTCTTCAGCTTTTTATCTAACTGACGCTCCAGATTAGTCAATAAGGTACATGCCCGAAAATGGTCTGTGCAGATTTTGATGTCATTTTCATCTGATTACTAAGTAAATTGTACCTTCAGTAAATCCCGAACTGCTTTATGTAGCTACTTACAAACTATAAGTAAACTGCCCGGTTAGGTGAAAATTCCATTGGTTATCTCTTGAAGGAGTGACCGTATTACTGGAAATTGCTTACTGAAAATTGCGTAGCTGAAGACGGCGTGTAAAATTTTAAGCTGCACGAGTTACTTTTCTAAGGATTTCGGGTTTGAATACTTGTCAAGATTCATTGGGTATACATCTATGACGATTTCTAACAGCCATTCTCGGCCCTTCTGAATGGATCACCTTGACTTGCTGAAAGAGCGTCAGGTCAGGACCCCTCGAAAGCCATACTTGTATCAACCGTCGGACCTAGCCTAGGAAGTCTTGTCATCCAAACCGCTGGTTCTCAGCGTTACATTCAAGACTACATATCATTCCAAAAACTTTACGGCGAAGTTACTCCTTGCATTGCGTCCTACAATGAGTCCATTCATCTGAAATATACACATGTTCCTGCAACAAAACTTGTGCTAAAAGCAGCAAATTATTGTACAAACGCATTATTACAAATGGGGCTAAAGATTCCAGTGTACCCTCGCGGACAAGAGGAATACGGAAATGCACCAGGCTCCCAAAAATGCATAAAAATGGGCTACAGAGATGGCCCGGAAACCTGTACTACAAAAGAGCTAGAATTCGTGTGATTCATGACGGAAGCACTGAATGTAGAAGCTATTTTTAGAGAAGTACGGAAAACTTTGTCAGAGGGTACGGTTAAGTTTGTTTTTGGGAAAAAGATTATTGACCTGACATACCTAGTGACAAGTTGCACTTAGCTTGTGAAAACAGTTAAGTTAACGAAATACACGGATTTGCAAACCAATCCTGTTTTGCGGGAGATTCACCCGTAGTCCAGGTGAGCAAGCAGAACATAAGGTCGACGGAAACTCGGGGACGGCGCCTACCTGATGAGCCCCGATAAGGGCGGAACCGGTCGTGGGCTGCGACGAATTTTCAGCAACCTTATGAGTAGTGCATTACAAAAATATATATGTATCGCGATATCCCGAATATCGTAGCGGCTGAAACACGAAGCGGTACATTCAGTTGCCTGGAAACATCAAAACGAGAGATTCAGCTGGGTTCCAGGTGATTCTCTCGGAAAACCAAATTAGTTTGCAAATCAGTGT